GTCTACCTACTGATTTATTCCTACGATGAGACATACGTGGATCCACATCAACAACACTGATTGAATATGTTCGTGTGAACCATCCTGAGCTCTGCTTACCAAAAATACGCGGTATTCGCGCGATAGTATTAGCATTTGCATACATGAAAACACTTTGGCGATGCTTTTGTTTTTTGTTTTTGTTTTACATTTACATCCAGCGTTAGGCCCACTGAATTGTTTAAATGCTTAAATAATTGAAAACATAAATTATGTGGATTAAATTCTCATATAATTTACAATGAAACTTTATAATTTACGGTATTTTATAAGATTATTTTTTTTAACAGAATAAAATAGGTAACATTATATTGGGGAAAAAAACCCAGATTTTACATCTATAGACGTAAGTTGATTTAATATGCTGAATCATTATTAATGGTATACGCCTATACCTATTATATATTTCTATAAATTAATCAACAAATATCTCATTAATCACACTCTCGCAAATAGGCCTCTTGAAGTATTATTGAAGTATTATTAATTCTTTATTAAAGCATTATTCGAGCCCCTTCATTATTATTATTATTATTATTATTATTTTATGTATTATTTATCATACATACTAACATTGAAAACATAAATTATGTGGATAAAATAAGATTATTTTTTAAAACAGCAGAATAAAAAAAAAAAAAAAAAAAAACAGGTTTTGCATAGACGCAAGTTGATTTAATATATGCTGATTCATCTCATTAATTAAACAATTTTTATTCATTTCGAGCACTGTTATTATTATATTATTATTATTATATTATTATTACTACTATTTTATTTTTAAATTTTTGTTGATTTATTTTTTGTTTTATGTATGGGCCTAGATATAGGCTATGTATATATTTAATAATTAGAAATAATTATAATTTAATTATAAAACATATATAATATAATGTTAACAATATTATAGGCTAGACCTAACCAATTATTGATACCATAATCTATAGATAAAAACATCCATTTGATAATTAAACAGCAGCTTTTCGAGTGGCAGTGCCGATAGAAAACTGCAGTGTTTTGGTAGTGCCGATAGAAAATCGGAGCTTTAATCGCACTGCGGCAATAATGCCGATAGAAAATAACAAGATATAATTGGCTTTTTTGGCAGTGCCGGTAGAAAACAGCAGCTTTTTTGGCACTGCGGCAGTGCCGATAGAAAACAGCAGCTTTTTGGCACTGCGGCAGTGCCGATAGAAAACAGCAGCTTTATTTCGCACTGCGGCAGTGCCGATAGCCTCAGCCTACACACACATGTTCTTCCGATCGATCCATTATTGAAGCGAGTGCAAAGGTCAGCGCACAGTAGTTTACCACCAGAGGGCGCTACTCTATTATTAATTATAATTTTTTTATGTGATTGTTAGGGTTTTCATTCTTTTGTACGTGAAAAACTGGGAAAATTAATCATAAAATGGTGTGTATTTCCTGTATATTGATACCTTTATTCCTTTGGGTGTGGCACCGGTTTCTTCAGCCTTATGTTGTGCCTTACTTACCAGCTAAACTACAAACATATTTAACATCTAAGGCTAAGCCTAAACCAGTTACAAATGGCAGTACAAAGACGACCATTGAAAGCGATACGACAGGGAAAGAAAATGTAAGTTTTGCCTGCCTATGATATCTAGCCTAGCCTAGGCCTAGCTAGACATAATTTTTCCATATTTCATTTATCATTGAATTTTTAATTGTATACTGTAGTTTACGGTGCCTCTAATTTTACAAGCCCTTTTGGGTTTCTTAAGGATATTGGATTTTTTTGGTGTGATACCAGGAACCAGGTGCATTGCTGTTGGTCTGGCCAGATGCGACAATCCCAACCTCCCTTGCCCTGGTGTGGTGGAGGGGGGGGGGGATGGAAAACCTTTTTATTTATAAATTTATTCCAATCCATCAAAGAATCATCGCCACTAACAGGCTGGTATAAAAATCTAGCTAAAATTACAAACATCATAGTACAATAATATGATAAAATATTACAAGATAAACACAAAAAAAAAATCTAAAATTGCTTCTAAATTGCGAAGTATGAGAGTTGTAAAAATTAAAAAACTGATATGAAAAATGTCAATATTAATTGTAGAAGAAATAGAATTAAATTGCATTTGAATCCTAGATTCCAATGCTGAGAAAAATAGATTATTTCAAGGTTTCTTTATTGCTGTTTCTGCAGTCTCGCCAGAGATTTCCATATCACTGATAAATGAATAAAAACTGATCAGTGTGAGTGTGACAGATTATTATGGCCTGTAATTAAATAATAACAAGATCTGCTTCTTCATTAAAAAATAACACATACAGTACAGGCCAAAGATACTAGAAATACAAGATAGAGTTCTCGCATTGTAAAAATGAGGCGGAAGTCGTGCCCAACGTAGGCGGCGCCCTTCTACATCTAGATGTGTATAAGAGACAGCTATCTTGTATTTCTAGTATCTTTGGTACAGGCCTACAAGATTTATGCAATACAATATTAAAAACAATGTCTATGTTTATGTAAAAGAGAGTTGCCGGATATAATATTTATTTATTTATTCTTTAACTCTTAGATAGAAATGGCAGGCTATAAAGGAAAATAAACTCCTATTCCCAATGGGATTCACCTACCATATACATATTTGGAACAAAATGAGATTTTGATTAAGCTAGGCTTTAACAATGATAAGGAAATACAGTAAAACAATTTCAAAGTTTCAGGACAATTGAGACCTACAACAGTATAAGACTACTGTATGCCAATTAACAAATCAAAAAAGCGACAAGATGATCATTGTGCGGGATGAAGAGCCTGAATTTTATAAGAGAGCACGGAAGAGGGAGGCTTTAAATGTACTTAGAGAAGTAAGCTGTCTGACATCGAGAGGAAGATTATTCCACAGACCAGTAATTCTAAAGAAGAATGAAAATTTGAAAGCCTTACAACGGGCAAATGGAACGGAAAGTGTTGGAAATTTGCGACACATATATGTATTATATTCAATGAAATAAAATATATACAGTATACTGTATACCTCTTTTACAATCATTATAAAAATGAATATTTTGTCATGCTCTGGATAAGATGTATAATTAAGAATTTTATCAAGTTGTTTAAAAATATGCTATGTTTGTGGTACTGTAGGTATTTACTGAATTATTTCTTAGCAGTTTTAATTATTCAGAACTTAATATTAAAACCAGCTGTTTTAATATACATTAAATGTTTAAATGTTCAGTTTCAATTTTGATTTATTTCACAAAGTCACATTCATATTCACATGTATGATTACAATAGAACATTTAAAGTATTTAAGTACAATAAATGAGAATATGAAAATGAGATGTAAGGAATCACATTGGAAGCAGAGCTGTGTAACACTTTTAGATGATAAGATAATTAATTCTTAACCAAAAAAAAAACACTTAATTTACTGTAGACCTAAGAAAAATTTTTAGAAGTAAAACTAATCCTGGTATTTCTGAGTCGAGGTTTCAGGGCCTGAATAAAGATTGCTAGTACAAGTGAAATGTTTTACTAGAATTACTCTGATCTTCTAGTCATTGAATGAAGTCAGACCGCTTTCAACGTCCTTGGATACACACTAACTCCAAAGGTCAAGGATAAACCCACTAAAGCCCTAACTAAGACTTACGTATTTTCAGGGGGTCTTTCTGGTGGTGAATTGAGCAGTACACCGGGAGACAATCCCCTACTCATTTCCGCAGAGTGTACTGTACTGCGTCGTTTAACATGCAAACAAACCAACGGCTTAAACGTCTCATCGGAATGACGGTGTGTTTTTAAAACTTACATTTCGGCCTTTCAGCTGAAACACAAAGAGAGGCAGCAATGGAAATTGAACAGGGGACCTAGAGTTCTCCACAGTTCAGTGCACACAGTGGTTACCACCAGTTTAGCTGACTGAGCTAGCTACTCTCTTTTCATTGTACTGTACTTATTATTGTGTATTATTTTGACGAATTGTAATAGGATGTCTTTTATGTTTTAGCCTGTTGATGTATCTGGAAACTAATTTACTGTTTTTTAATATTCTTGTAGGGCTGCAGAGATAATGTAGAAAATGTATGCAATGGAACAGTGCACAC